CTCTTCACCATCTCCCCCGCCGGGGCCGCTTGTTGCACCGCCCCGCCGCCTGCGAGAGCCGCTCGCCCCGGCCCCGGCCCCGGCCTTGTGCTCGCTTCCGCACCCCCTCGCTCTCGTCGCCGGGGCCCGCACCCCAGCCCGGACGGCGAGACCCGGGCCAGACCCCGCTGCCCGCACAAAATGTCGGCCCGGACGCCATTGCCGACGGTGAACGAGCGGGACACGGAAAATGTGAGTAACGGGAGCCACCCCCGGGAGCGGTGGGGGAGAGACCCTCATCCGGCCTCACTTCCCCACCCCCCGCCTCCTGGCTCGGGCCGTCCCCCGCGTCCCCCCGCGCGGCCGCCCGCGGCAGGGTGTCCACCTGGAGCCTGGCATGACCCTCGCCCACCGCTCAGCCCTGTTCTTCATTCCAGCCCCTTTTCGCTTCTTTCCCGTCAAGGGTGAGGGTGGGCGAAGTGAGTGGCGCCCTCTCGCTCGGAGGGGATCTTCCAGGAGCGGGTGGGGTGATGGAGGGCAGAGAGGCAGAATGAGATGGCTCAGTGGGCATCCAGGATTGCTTTATTTCTGCCCTGCATTCTGTTTCTCCGCCCGAATGAATATTTGCTTTAGGATGACAGACAAGCCTCGTACCCTCTTGCTTTTCTGGGTCTTTCACTCCTTTGCACACCCCCTTCCCCCGCATTGCCCCATGACTTTGCTTTTTGTATTATTGTGTCCACATTTTGGGTCACGGGCACCAACGGGAGAAGGAGAGGAATGAAAGTAGAGCTGTGTGTGCATGTGTATATGAGTTTATACTGCTGGGATACTCTTCAGTAGAGATGAGTAGCAGCATTTCGTGAACAGCATCTGTGGCCCTAGGGTTACAACAAAATGTTTAAAAGCCATATGAAGCCAAAAGCTTTTCAATCTCTTCTTCAAGTCTGCGGTAAAGATTCAGGGCAGGTTTTACTTTAAATATCTCTCCTCCTTCTTGGAGTGTCACAAGGTACATTTCTTTGAAAGAAGAATTTTCTGTGTCTTTGATCAAATTGCCCTCAGGAGTTTTTATCAAGATACAGATGTCCCTGGTGTTTAAACTCTTGAAAACTAAAAGAACAAGACCAGTTGTATTTCCACCTTCGGAAAAGTACAGTGTGTGTGTGTGTGTGTGTGTGTGTGTGTGTGTGTGTGTGTGTGTATGTGTGTGTGTAAGTTCCTTTGTGGCAAAGGTTTTTTGTTTTAGTTTTAAATCCTCAAGACCTGTAAATAGGGCCTTGGCTGATTTTCCGGCTGATTTTAAGAAGCTAGAGGGGTACTAAGTTTGAGTCTGCTGTCCAGAACTCTCTGCTTATCTAGTTAACTCATCAGCCCTCCAGCTTTTGATGTACCAGTGACTTCATAGGGTTGGTAAAATAAAATAGTGAAGTGCTTTGGTGTTCTTGGACAAAAGACATGAAAAGAGGGAGAGAGGCTCACTTCTGAGTTGTTGGAAGGGGTCTAAAGAGATTATTTAATCTTGGAGAGTAGGGGAGCACAGAAACAATACAATTATATGATGGAAGAGAAATTCTAGTAAGAGACCATTGTTAGAGGACCCACAAAGATGTTTCAGATTATGCTTTTGTCCTCTCTAGTGTTGTGCATTTAAGATGGTTAAAGATGGTGCAAGGCTGCTGCTTTCATAAATCATAACTTAATTTGCATCATAACTATTTTAAGAAATACGTAATTGATACATAATTTTGATTGAGAGATTGAACAAGGTCAGAGAAAAAGATGAAAAATTTGGTTTAAGGTGATTTTAAAGCCGAGTTGGCACAATATTTTTCTAGCAGGAACTCTAAAAAATTTCCTGTCGTTCAAGAGTGTGAATGAAAGTAAGACAGATTATGACCTTTGTTTTTATTAGCAAAAATACCATATGTGTTAGCCTAGGATAAGGGGGAAAATACATTGTTTTTGTTTTCTTTTGGATTTTTGACTATTATAGCTCTTCTCCTACTTATAAGGTATAGGCATGAGATAGCATTATAGAAATATGCATCAAGAAATAGTATCAATGTAAGCCCCAAAAAAGAGAGAGATTTTAAAGCTAAGCAATAATAGAATGATAAATTTTGTTTTGCGTACCTTCTGAAAATGATTATGCTGTATAAACTCATCTGTTCAGTATCTGAACATGTTATTTCAAAGACATTTTATGGTCTTGTCCCTTATTGTGTTGTCCATCTAGCTTACTTTACCCACATCCTAATTTTCTCCTAATTGCTGTATAAAATATCTCTTATATTTTGGCTGTTAATTAGTCAGTTTGTATGCACCCAGCTTTCTTTTTAATTAGTTAGTTTGTATGCACCCAGCTTTCTTTTTGAGCTGGAAAAGGGTACAGCAATAGTTTTTAAGACAAGGCCTCTCCCCTCAGGGAGCTTACAGAAGAGACAAATGTAATTGCAAACAGCATACAGTAGAAGACATTGTGTAAATAGGACTAGATTGGTTTATGTGTTATAGGTGTTTATCAAAGGCACTGCTACTGATGGCTATTAAATCGCCATTGGTATCTGTCTTTATTCTCTGGTTGATAGTAAATGACTTTATCTTTTCTTTCCTCTCATTGATGAAATAAAATAACAAACCTGCTTGTTAGCTAATAATGCCAGCATGGCAATCAAAATGTACATTTGTTTGTAGTAGTTTTCAATTAAATGACATTTTAACAAATAGTTAATTTTAATTATATTATAAATATTAAAGAGTTCTAAATCCTTTGGCGTATCGAGGATAGTAACTAAAAATATTTTACTACCTTTAGAAATTAAAATCAACACATACTGTCACTTAAAAAGCCATCTTGGTATTTTGCTGTAATTTGCAGTTAATGGACAAATTTCTTTGGTCATACATGTAACATTTTGATTTTGTATCCTTGGAATATGTAATACCTACCCTTTCCAATGTTGCTAATATATAACCAGGATAAATTAAAATATTCAAAATGGAAATGTTATATAGCACTGATTTCTTATGTTCTACTACTATACATAGTAGAGTGAGAAAGAATTACTTTTCCCTGAGAACATTTTGTGTTTACTTTTTCAGGGGTATTTTCTTGAATGAAAGATTTGTGTGTGACTTATTAATGGCCTCAAGTGGCTAAATACAACAGAACAACCAATGCTTAACTTTTAAGGCAATAAACAGTAGTAAAATAAATACATATTGCAGATTATGGAATCTGTGCAAAATATGTTTGATTTAGGTTTTAAAGAGTAAGTCCAGAACAAGAATGAGTAATTGAAAGATTTCTCCTTTTTTTCCTTTTGTTTGATTACACTTGGGTAGTTTCAGCATGGATATAGATAATATATTAGCATTACTCTTTTATGCTTTTTAATGAAACAAATTTTAGTGTTTTGGAAAAACTCTGATCATGCTAATTTTTATGGATCAAAAATGTTCAGGCTCGCTTTCAGTGATGAAATTGTGGTCAGTATGAAGAAAACTAACTTGATTGACTATTTTCGGAAATGTTTTAAAATTGAATTTGGTTTGTTTCAAAAATCTTTAGTTAAAACAACTTTTGATGGCGAGTCTTTTGATAAATCTGAAGTTCATAGTGATGATTGTAGCAAGTACTTAATATAGCTGAGGTGGCCTATGGGAATCATTGTTAATAGTGTGAAAAGGTGAGAGGAAGCATGCTTTTGCCACTACTGTTGGGTTTCTCAGCATGTGTGCATCCCTCATGTGTCATAGTACCTATCACATTGCATTCTAAATGCTGCCTGTCTCCTTCAGTCTGTGTTGCCATTGTCCAGCATAGTGACTAGTACATGAGATCAGTGCTGTAGCATTCCCTTTGAATTTTTTCATTTATCATCAAAATACATTAGTGACATTGGTAAGGGTAGCAATTAAATATTACAATCTGAGAGGCTGAAGCCTTCAGAGAGAATATTTAGTGATGTGCTGAAGGTTATAATGAATCTCTAATATCCACTATTGTTTTATCTTGCTGTTGCTTCTTGGAGGTGGGTTTTTGTTTGTTTTGTTTTTGTCTTAGAGATTTTAGAAGAACATATGCAATGATATAAGATACTTTATTAGAAGAAGAACAAGATATGCCATCCTTTTCTCTAATTCTGAATCTTTACTATTTCCTCTGTCTAGAGTATCCTGCACTTGTCCCTTCATATTAAACTTGATAAATCCTTTATGGCTTGGCTCATTTTTTAACAGGACTTCTGAAATGATTGCAGCCGTCACTGCTCCCTTCTGTAGGGGAACACTTATGTATGTATATAGTCCATATGTGAGTGTTATGCAGGGCAGTTCACTGTGATAAGAAATATCTTTAATGTCTGTCACTTCCCTTTTGACCTACATGCTACTATTATGTCTTCTTTTTTTAAGACCCAGCTTATATAGAACTAGCTATGTTACTTTAAAGTTATTATTTTTCTTCTTTCTTCTCAGAGTTTCCTTTGGGGGTCATTTTTCCTTTTCTTGATGAACATCTTTAGAAGTTCTTTTGATGAGTGATTGTTATTCATAAACTTTCTCAAGTCTGAAAACATATTTTGCCTTTATTCTCAAAAAATAGTTTTGCAGAGTCTGAGCTCTAGATTGATAGTTTAATTTCTTTCACTGCTCAGAAGATAATATTCTGTTGTCTACTGATTTCCATTGTTTCTGTTTAGAAATCATCTGCCAGTTGGTCGGTGATCTTTTCTATATCTGTCTTCAGTGGAGTCATATGGTTCATCAATTCTGGAAATGCACCAACCATTATCTCTTTAAATATTACCTTCTGTTCTCTCTAGTGTTTCTGGCACTCTGATTAGCTGTGCTAAAATTTCTCATATTCATTTTTTTCTCCCATTTCATTGTTTATTTGTACTACAATCTACTATAATTGCTAGATGTAATATGTTTAGATCTGTCTCTCTTTAGCTGTATTTAGTTCTGTTAACCCATTTGTTGAATTTTTTTTATTGTGGTAAAAAGCACACAACATGAGATTTGCCCTCATAACAGATTTGTAAAGTATATGGTACAGTGATTTTTTTTGGTGGGGTGGGGATATTTTAATGGTGGTGAGGAGGCAATTTTATTATTTTTTCATATTTTATTTTAAGTTTATTTTATTGATTCATACTGGATGTATTTTTGGGGTACATGTGATAATTTTACACATTCTATAGTTAAATCAGGGCAATTGGGCCATCCATCACCTTAAATATTTA